CAATATTCCTCTGTTGTTTCTATCTTTGTTTAGAATCCCAAATAGGGTGGTTCAGATAATCGAGAAGATTATGAGGGTTTTATTGTGGTATGGAATGTGGAAGGCATTTAGAGATCATGATGGGATGTGCGTTGTCTTCCTAAGAAGCATAGTGGTTCGGGTATTGGGAATTTTACATGCAAAAAGTTGCTCTCTTTTTCTTCTCTATGGAAGTGATTGATTAAGAGTATAATGGTATGCATAGAAATGGTTGGAACTAGGAACTCAACAGCCATAAAAGCCTCTGAAAAGCTATCTCTTGGTTCTATGATCTTTTTATCCCTTTTCACCCATTTGACGCTGGGGGCTGGATCTTGTATTTTAATCTAGGAAGAGTCTTCGATTGTTGATCGCCCTTTAGCCTCATGTTTCCCTCATCTCTATAATTTCTGATTAACAACTATATCATTAACCATTCTGAGAGGCGTCATTCTTTGAACATACACCTTATTCGCAATTTCAATGACCGGGAATGTGTTGATATATTATCCTTGATTTACATACTTGTTTTGGAATGATCCTTGATATACGTACTTGAATCTTGTTTCATTTCGTCCCAAGCTGATAATAGAGTATGGACTCTTGATCTGTTAGGCACCTATATTTACAAGTATTTTTTTCACCCATTTACCTAGTTGTCATCATGCATTTTCCACCAATTAGTTTTGGCAGGTTAAAATTTCTTTTAAGACGACGATTTTTTCCTGGACAACTATTATGTATAAACTTAATACTAATGACTTGTTGCAAGTTTGCAGGCCTTACAGTTGTCTCTCTCCTGATATATTTGTGATGTTTTTTAAGAGAAATGAATGCCACGGCCGCCGCCTCTTCCTCCATTCTGAAGTGACTTGGAAGCTATGAACAAAACTTTTTGGTACATTTTCCCTAATGTGGGTATCCCCACTTACTGAATGTTTCTATGAGATCATCTTTAAAAGGAGATGAGGTTAGGAAAGAATGAGGAATCTTTGGAGACACCATTTTTGCTGTTTTGTGGGTGTTATGGTTGGAGCAAAGATCGATATATGCCTTCTTAGTTTTTTTGGGATAGAATGACTTTTTGGCTTCTTTGTGGGCCACGATATATAACTTTTTCAAAGATGTTTCCTTATCTTTATTGCAGCGAAATTGGGGGGCAACTTTGCATTGATCTTATCTTTTCGTTTTTCTTTTCCTCTGATTTTATGGAGGTCATTTTGAGAATGTCTTATCTTCAATATTGTATTTCTTCTTTCTCGTTTATCAATAACACTTCTTTTCTTGTAAAAAAAATATTGATGTTCATGGTGCAAGATCAGTAGGTTACTAATGGTGGTGTCAAGACTGGTTCTGACATCAAAGATAAAATCATAATATGACCATCATCACTCGATTTATAATGATTACCAAATTCCTGGTAAGTTTTTAATAAGTGGATCTGTACACTAGTATCACATGTTCACTTTGAATGAGTGGAAAGAAAAATGAGCCAACGTTCATAAAGAAAATAAAGCATGCACATGATCAAATATTATATATGAATGGTATCAAAGATCTAGGAACTACCTCCTTTAAGAGCAACGTTCCGTAATGAAAAGGCTAGCTGAAAGCTCCGGATCAGAACCTCGTTGCAGGAGTTCTGCATCGCATAGCAGATCATAAGAAACTAATAGAACTACGAAAATAT